GCCACTGACGCGCTGTTCTCATTTGTCATGAAAAATCTGGAACCAGCTTGTTTCACCACGGTCTTAAGAATTGGGACAGTGCCAGGCTGCCTGAGTTCTGGAGTATGGTGTGGGGGGATGGGTGCAGGCCTTGTGGCCAGGCACAACTGCAGCCTGACTGTGCAGTAGAGACATGTTCCTCAAGCTTTCTGAAAGTAGGTAGATTCATCAAAATGGGTCTGATAACCCCCCTCATAATATTGTTTCAAAGTAGGTATAATAATAGATGCTCGATTAAAACTTCCCTTTTTCTCTCCCAAGTCCCACTCTTTCCCCCAGTACATCAAGGACCTGCCCTGTTTCCCAGAATATCTCTCTGTAGAAGTGCCCTTATCATCTTAGTGTTGGATTTTGGTAATGAACTGGGTATATATTATATTCAGCATTCCATCATGGTCCCAGGTTCTCAGTATCAACAAGTTCTGGTTTGTGCGTGGTATGAGGAAGGCCACTGATTGGCAAGGGGAAGGAGCACTGATATGAGTTTACAACCTTCCCCCAAGGGAGAGGGATGGAGCCCTTCCTACCTAGAAATGTATCAACTTGGGATGGTGTAGAAAAGCAAGTTTGGTGACATAAGTTTCTCTGGAATCCTTCAGTTTTCTTGGGTCAGAGGAGAGACATTATTCATGAGGATCGGAACAAGGCAAATAGGACCTGATATTGCAGTTGGAGACAGAGAACCACAAAAACAGAACCTTAGAAGCATAATATTCTGAAGCCATTAGTTTTAGGAGAATATAGACCTACACGTTTAATATTCTCTGAAAACATTACTGTACGACAGGTAGCCTAAATTGTTTGTTGAATTTGAATTTAACAAAGTAATAATGCTCCTAAATTTCTGAAACACGAAGAAAAGTTTAAATTACATTCAAGTATAATACTCGACTTAGGAATAAGAATTGGGTAGCAATATTACCATTTTAGGAAGACTTTGATCCATATAACTGAAATATTGGTAAAAATGTTTCATTCAGAACTTATAGAAAGTTAATACCTAGAGTATATTTTATTAAACAAAGTTGGATAACATCGTTTCTCAGCCTTTTGGCTAAGAGCAAGTGCAAAGTAGGATAACAGACATTGTTTTGCACAACACAGAGCTGAGCATATGGTAAAAGTTGAATATTTTTAAAATGGAACTCGATATATACAGGACCTTTAAAAATGAAGTTGGTTACTTGACTGTCAAAAGACACTAATATATTCCCTACCTATATCTTTCTACAAAATGTTAACAGTGACAAGTCCTAATTTAGCTACTCATCTGATTGAGCAAGTCATTGACTTGAGTTCATTCGAATGGGACATTGAGATATAAAACAACTTCTTTAAAAATTGATTAAGAGATTGATACTTTTCTTTCAACATAAAATGACATCTTTCCTTTGAGCTTATCTCTCCCTTTAGACCCTCCAGATTTGAAAACTACCAGTGATAAATACCGTCAAGAATCTGTAGTCAACTCACATCCTTTTATATAATTAATAGGATTGCTTAGACAGCTTATCTGCTTTAAGTTCTGAAAATCTCTTTATCCTTTACCTGCAGGCATACCAATCATTTGAAAAGGACAAGGCTGAGGGAACTTGTGTTAAAGACGATTTAAAAAATTTCTTGGCATCAAGTTCTACTGCTCTGGTTTCTGGGTGTCTTCTATCTCTTAATTCAATTATTTCCCTTCTAGATATTTGAAATGACACTTTCCATTCACTTGAGTGGTGAGTTTCTTGCATTTTCTGGTGAAATATGCATTTCCAAAAGTCTTTTCTCCTTATTCTTTGGCTGGATTTTGCCAGGCCTGGGGAATAGAGAACTTACTTGTCTGAGAACTGGGAAGTCTTGGGTTTGGGCTTCTCTCTGTGATATGGTAAAAGTTCTTTGGCTGCTAGCCACAGAAATAACCATTTTAAGCAAAAGAAATATGTTGGAAGGATAGCAAGGGACTATAGAATCTGTAGATGGCTGAAAATCAGGTTTGCACATGGGCAGGTGCCATGGCCTTTCCATAAGATGGGAAGCAGGAACCCTGGCAGCTGTCTTGTAGAAGCAACAGAATGGTGAGCACATCACTGCTGAGATGAGATGGAACATCAAGTTCCAGGGAGGATGAAGTCTACGCTTGCTGGATACAGGTAGGACCCCCAATTACAGTCTGCTGGGCTCTACCTGATGTGGAAAATTTAATCCCTTAAAAGGAAATAAGGAGGCCTGCTTGGGAAGAGAAATTGCATGCTGGATAGATTACTTTGTTTACTATTGTGCAACCACCTACCACAGGTATCCTCAGACTATGGCCCACAGGCCACATGTGGCCCACCTAGCACATTTATCCAGCCCGCCAGGTGTTTTTGCTGCCACTGCCTATACTGCTTAGCAGCTGACTCATCCTGGGGCCCACAGTCTGGCCCTCCAACGGTCTGAGGGACAGTGAACTGGCCTCCTGTTTAAAAAGTTTGAGGACCCTTGACCTACCATCTTTAAAGGTGTTTCTAGCTTTCAAGATGAATGAAGAGTGCTTCTCCCATTAAAGCCTCTGGGGTTACCATGTCCCAGGGATGTTCCTTCTATGCATGCATAAAACCAACAAATAACAGGGCAAACTGGCATTAGACAGTTGTGGATACTGGTGGGTTATATGGCTATACTAGTTATCTAGGGCTGCTTGCTTAACTATATTACCATAAACTTGGCACCTTAAAACAACATGCAATTATCATCTCACTGTTTCCTGGTCAGGAGTCCAGGCATGGTGTAGTTAGCTCCTCTGTGTAGGGTCTTACAAGGCTGCAATCAAAGTGGAAGTTGGGGCTGAGGCTCAGCTGGGGAAAGATCTGCTCCAAGTTTACCCAGATTGTTAGCAGAATTCAGCTCCTTGAGGCTATAGGGAGGGCTGAGGATTTTAGTTTCTTGTTGGTTGTAGGCTGTAGGCTGCAGGCTGCCTTCACCTACAGCAGGGTACCTGTGTTCCATGCCATAGTGAGTGTCTGTCATGGCTGTTCTGATTTCTTAAAGGCAGCAGGAGAGGGAAGCTCCAGCAAGACAGGCACCACAATCTTATGTCGTATGATCACATAGTCACATATCCTACCACCTTTACCATATCCTACCCGTTAGAAGCAAGAGGGGAGAGGATTGCACCAGGGTGTGAACACCAGGAGGCGTAGATCAAAGGGCAAATGTGTCAGAGTGGCAGAATTGGATGGGGTAATCCCCAGGGCTGTCTTAAAACCCAACACATCTATTTCTTCACGTGGAGAATTAATGGAAGCAAAACAAAAAGTTGGCTTCTAATCTTTCTAGTTCAGCTACAGAGGAGAGAGATGTAAGGAGCTCCACCTCCTCAGAGCTAGAGTGGCTTTCTGTCCAGAGTTGGTGTTTCCTTTGTAGTTCTGTGCATGCAGTTAAATCTAGTAGCCTCTATAGGATTGTGTATTTTGCTTATTATCTACTATTTGGCGACTCACCTTCTCTTTATGGCATGGAAATGCTTTCTAAATTGATTCATGCATATGTACTCTCTTCCTTAGCTATGTCATAAGCACCTTAAAGGCAGGGAGCATGCCCTCCAAGTAGAATAAAAACTAATACACAAAAGTACTTTGGAGGAAGTAACTCATGTTATTTTCTAGTTGTGTGGAGGAAGAAGGGTCTCTAGGTCAAGGTGAAAACCTTCCTTCTCTTAGCTGTGCTTGGTTGTGCAAACAAAACATGCATATTTGAAAGAGGGATGTTGACCTTACAAATGCTCACATTATCTTGAAACAATATGCGTAGTTCCTAGACTGCCAGGAATGCATCTGGAAGCAGAAGGGTAGTGTACAAAGAGGCCTCACAGACATGGGTTGAGTCCCTGCATACAGTGGCAGTATGACCACCCTGGGCTTCCTGCTCTAACCTCTGTGAACCTCAGTGACCTCATAGACCCAGCTTGTAGAGATAATGAATTTAAAATGTAACAGTATCTGACATATAATAAACATGTAAGAAACTGCTGTTTTCCCATCCCAGAACCTGGACCCTTTGGGTATCCCAGGCATAGGCTTATTGGAAAGTGAGGAATGGAAAAAAGAAGTCACACATACACAGATACAGTATGCCCTAGCAGACTGTGAGGCTGGGACCGCATGGATGTTCCATGCTGGGAAACTCACAGATCTTGAAATTGGTGAAGGGTGCCTCCCTGAATTTCACATTATCAACTATTTTTGTTAAAGGGAGACAAAAATCTCATGTAACCCCATAATATGATTTTTTTTTTTCAGTTTTTTTGGCTGGGGCCGGGTTTGAACCCACCACCTCCGGTATATGGGGCCAGTGCCCTACTCCTTGAGCCACAGGCACCACCCATATATGTTATAATTTTTTAAGACACTGATCCATGAATCAAGGAAGGTTGTTGTCAGTTCATCCCTCAAGGAGGGGTTCTCAGAGAGATACCTTACATTGTACCTAATACATTGTATCTCTTTTCTTTTCTTGGAGCTTGAGGGTTTAGTATGGTAGTTCTCTGAGTTTGGAGGAAATTAGAATCCTTACTGCTGTTTTCCAGTCCCAGGAGCTGGGCCATCCAGAGTGTGGTAAGAGGATGTGCCGCAGGCGCTCTTTGGTGGAGGGCACAGACCCTGGGATAGATTCTGGTCATGTCAGGGCAGAGGAGGAAGAACCCCCAGCTCCAACCCTTTATTCCTAATCTCCCAGGATGCAGTAGGAAGCACCTGGGACTTGGCTGGGTGTCCTTGGCCAAGCAATCGCCTCTCCAAAAACATTTTCACTTCCACGAAAGTAGAGTAATATTGACGGTCAAAAGTGGGGAAGAATGTAGAAACATTCTTTAAATACGCCTATCTAAGGGAACCAGGATATAGTCTCCTTACCAAGAATTTGCTTCTAAGATTAGACAAATTTTAATTTTCTCCCAACAGTGCCTGTAAGGTCCAAATGCAAATGTTAACTTCATTTTAGAAAGGATTTAATTTGAACAACTTATGATTAAAAATACACTTTATAAATAATTTTTCCATAGACTTGATTGAGAATTGTTGCGAACTTTACAAAAAGACATACTGCAACAACAGATGAAAGGAATTACAAAAAATATAGCTATAGCCCTATTTAAAAATACAACATTATACATTACACAGCATTTTCTTTGTGCAAAAAGTTTAAGAGAATGCTGTGTTAGGCACGTCGAACATATATACTCAAAGGGAAGTAAACTTTAATACAGTTACTTTGCATAATATTACAGGCACAGCTGAAATAATGAATCTTCTCCCCCTAGAAGTTAATGTATCTTTGTTCAACATTTTACTTTTATTTTGTAGGACTGAAGGCTAAATTTAGCTTTCTACAAATATATTTTGTGTATATTTGTGTGTGTGTGTAAACAATATGTATGTATGAAAACGAATATATGCTTTGACATTGAGCAAACCCCAACATATGTACAGTATTTTCAGAGAATGTGTTCTCCCAAGCAGTCTGTGTCCATCTTCTCTGTTAAACAACACTTTAGAAAATCAACCTAAGCCAGTATCTGTCAATTAGTGAACATCCTCTGCTGACACTTCTAGTTTGCGCTGTGGGATAAAGAGAGTTCCTAAGGAGGTTTTATTAGCACCATCGAAATCCACACAGGATGAGCTAGTTGACTTGGTGGGTCCACCCGGGGTACGGAAGAAACTTTCGGCCACTAATTGTGACCCTTTGGGTGTCACAGGAACAGGCTGATGGGAAAGAGAGGAATGGAAAAGAGAAGTCAAACACACAAGAGATACATAAATATGCCCCAGTAACCTTGGAGGATAGGACTGGATGGCTGTTCCATGCTGGGAAACACACCTATCTTGAAATTGGTGAGGGAAGCCTGGATGAGTCTTACATTGTCCATTGTTTTTGTTAGAGAGAGACAAAAATCTCATAACCCTCTGGTACTGTTTCTGCTCTATGGAAAGAGGGCAGGTCTTCAATCTTCTCATTTTCCCATCTATTTGCTTTCCAAAGAAGGAAAGCAAAAAGCAAACCTCCTGTGATACACTGTTTGGGACTTTCTAACTCAAAGAAAAATTACATTAAAATTTAAATGGAAACACTCTCACCTGTTTTACCCCCGTCACAGCAACTGATTGCCCATTCAGTTGATTCTGGCCCAGGGCTGGCGAGTCATAATTGGTGGCCCTTCCTTGGTGAGTGCCTGCATTTTCTGTTATGACACTAACAGCCTCTATTCTTGGAGACACAGGAATGATTCCGGCCCCAGGGCTGGCAGACACCTGGACACTGGGGGAGATGAGTCCCAGGTGCTGAAGGGTGAAGTTTACAATGGCTGAGCTTGGGTTCTGGATGGGAACGGGGTGGCTCGCAGCGAGAGCCGGGCTGTTCCCGACTGGTACGGCTGCCATGGAAGTTGGTGAGACCATTAGCTTCAAAGGTGTTACATGAAAAGAGGGAAAATTAACAGCAGTGAGTTCAGATGATGTCACTGGAAGAACACCTGGAAAGAAAAGGTGGGAGATATCTTAAAAGCACAGGTATTTTGTCCAAGAAGTTTAGAGAATTAAGTGAATTTGAGACTATCCATGTTTGAATAGTGTTTTGGGTCTACTCACCTGCGATCGGGGAGCTGTAGATCCTGTGGTTTGGGGAAAGAGCACCTGAGTTTTCTTTACTAGACAAGATGGACTCCGCCCCCAGGGATGAGCAGTGGGTGAGAGGGATTAGGTATCCTGATGGGAGTGAGGTCTAGAAAACAAGGAGGAAGGGCTTATTGTGTACACAAATACAGGAAAAAATATGGCCATGTGTTTCTTCAGGGCAAACATCTCTTGGTTGTTTGTTTCATCAGACCAAATCCCCCAACAGTTGGGGCTGCAGGCATGCCACCCATCCAGCTCCTAGAAATCAATATCCTCTCACCCTTTCCAATGCCTGTCCTGAATAATACAGAACACCTGCTTCTTAAATGCTGCCTAAGGTCTCAGGAAACAGCTAGGAAACAGCACTGAGCCTGCCTACGGGTGGGATTCATCCTGACCCCTGTGATCAGGCTTCTTCCTATGGTGTGGTACTAATTGTCAGAGGAAGCTGAATGCAACTGAACATTGCATATGGCACTAGAGGATTATTATCTGACTGTTCTTGAATTACATAGGATGGTTATTTCCTAAAGAGTATTTGGATGGACCCTGGGTCCCCAGCATACAAATAGGTGTTATTTAATCCACGGTCAAACAATGTTTGGGAAATGCTGAACTGAACAAAGGCAAATGGCGTCTTTATCTGAGAGTTTCCAACAGACCATAAGGATGGCGCACATTATAAACCTCCAAGTGTAGCACACGGCGTGTAGCACTTTCCAGACTATTTGGTAACTATAGTTTTGGTGGGTTATTAGAGAGGACTAATATTCAAAGAAAATATTTTAAGCAGTGCTGATATTTTAAGCCAGGCCCATTTGCCTAGGTACTCTTGATAGCTGCTGCTATCTAGCTACACTGGCAGAGCTGAATAGGTGCAGCAGAGCCCATGTGGTCCACAAAGCCACAAACACTATCTGCCTTTTCTAGAAAGTTTGCTGGTCCCAGGTTTAGAACAAAGGAATTGTGCAAGTATAGATTTTTTTCCTAGTACTGCTCCTCTAGTGAGAACAATCTTAGAATAGGCAAACTAAAGTACACCAGAATGAATGAATTACAAAGAATAAAACTAATTCATGTTAGAGACCCAAGTGTGACTGAGCAAAAGCTTTAGGCAGTAGTTATAATCCAAACGGAAAGGTCCACATGTGGGTTGCAGGTATCTCCTACCACACTTGTTAGATCACTGTACTTGACCAAACAGAAAAAGTCTACAGGGTGGCTGACCTGCCTGGAAGGTCTGCATTAGCCTTACTATGAATGGGACTGGCAAAAGCAACACAGCTCTTGTAAACTAGGGGCCCTTCTTTTATCTTTTCAGACCTTTTTTTTTTTCTCTCCATTGTCAAAACAACAGTTTAATCTAGCTGTTAATAGGTCTTTTGCTTGGGAGCCACAAAGCTTTTAATTTTGTTTCTCAGGTGCCTGGTAACCTCTCAAAATCTTCACTAGTAAGTGCCTTGAAAGCTGCAGAAATAGAGAATTTTCAAGGGGTGGACTTGGGCATTTTACAAAGAGCTGTTCTCTGTCATGTTTATATATAATCATTCTGTGATATAATCATTCAGATTGCTCATTTAACTCTTTCCAGTCTTCAGCGAAGCCTGTAGTACTCTTAATCATAATTGTTTTTCAATTTTCAACAAACTACCTTCATGACGAAAACCTTTTAAACTATAATGCCACTTTCTTTTGTTAAAAAAAAAGTTAGAACTATTAAATTAGTGGAGTGAGTGAAATCTGATGTATTCCGACTCAGTGTCCTTTCTTCTGGCCTGCAGCAGCTCTGCCCCCCATCACATCATCATCAGTTTCACCATTCACTACCTGATGTGTTTATTTGCATACTGTCTCCTCTTCTAGAAGTGGAGATTCTCAGTAAATATTTGATGAACGAATTAATACATTTATCTCTCATGTTCTTTGCTTTACCTAATCCATGCTAAAAAGAAAAGGTCAAAACTTCCTATAAATGAAGTTGGAGAGATGCAAAAAAGGAGGGTACACTGGAACATCTACCCACTAAAAACCTTAATCCTGAATAACTAAGTAGCCAACAGGAGACCGTTATTAAATCATACTTACTGGCCCAAGGCGATTATGGATCCCCCAGAAAATTGAATCAAGCCAAGCCTTGCAATCTCCCCCCTAAGCATGTATATTAAATACAAAATGATACTATGTAGGATAATAGATGTTTTAAATGGTCACCATGAGGCCATCCTCAGGGAAGATTTGACAAATTCTAAAGCTTCCTTAATAACAACAGTAACAGATAATACCCTTCAGCTTATACAGTGTCTTAAAAGGATCAAATCCGTTTATGTATAAAATCCCCTAACTCCACAAAAACTGTAATATGGCCACGGGCCAAGAACTCAGAAGCAATTGCCACCAAAGGCAGGTGCTCATTTAGATTTGATCCAGAGCACAGTGTATTATTTGTAGGTGATCAGGACAATTTGGTGAAATAAATTCTTCATCAATGAGGAAAAATCAGACATAGAAAAGTCAAATAACTTTTGTTAATAGCAGGGGCAAACTAAGAAGTTAACTTCTGCTTCCATCTTTAGTGGTATTTATTTGATACAGTAACATCTTTCAATTCTAATTGTCCTAAGGGAGAAAAATGAGATAAGGCACACAATACCGATTATGTCTGGCATGTGGGTAGGTAGCAAAGAAATATTAGTTCCTGTCTTAACTCACCTCCACCTAGGGAATAAAACCCTCTTGAAACAATACATCAAATATATCTACAATTTGTCAAAATCAGTTTGATTTTTCTATTTACACAAAATGGATATTTGGTTTAAATTTTAGGCAGAAAGTAAAAATGGAGAAAACAATTTATGTTCTAGGCAACTGATGCCAGTTACATGACATCAAACAAACATTAGGTCATGACTCCAAAAAGAAGTTTTAGGAACACTACACATCCATCCAGTTATTTGGGGTTACATCTGCCTTGTAAATTTTTAAGACTTTTGCGACAGGTGTTTGTGTTGCAGAATGTGATGGAGAAATGGACTTAAGGACAACCACCCATGGTGCTTTAAAAAGGGAGCAAATAATCCCTTCCTCCAAAGGTTAAAAATGTCCCTGCCGTCATCCCAGTCAGGGGATTAGCTGTCTAGGCCCTTGTTTAGATGGGATGTGAAGGAACCATTCCTTATCTTCTGAAAGAGTTCTCTTTGCTCTGGGATAAATTTCCCAAGCCACCAAATTCTCCTTTAATTGACCAGGGAATTTGCAAAGCTTTTTACTTACTGCGGAGACATTTTCAAGTCCTTTTAAATCCTCTTTGAATTTCTTTTGGAAGCCACTGTCTTCAAGTATGCTTGCCCTCTTCGAGCCTCTTTCTCCAGCTGGCTCCCTGTTTCGGTTCTTTGTACTTTGTTTCTCTGGGGCTGGCAGCAAGCTTCCAAGCCTGGTGGAGGCACTGCACTTTGTGGCACCACTGGCTGCCTTCTCAGTGGTGGCATCTGTGGAGTCTTTTGATCCAGTAGCTTTAGAAGAGTGAGTGGGGCAGACAGTTGGGCTCAGGCCTTGGGGTGGTGTCATGGTTTGGGCTTGGGCAGGCTGCAGGTAGATGGCATAGGATGGGCCCGAAGTGGCCGGAGGTAGGATCACAGGCACTGCTGATGACAATGGGCTGGGGATCAGTGGAACCATCCCCAGGGGCTGGATTAGGGATGGTGCTGTCAGGTCCAGTTCAGCACTCCCTGGGGTATCCAGAGGGGCTACTGGTTTACAGTGCCCAGATCTTGCCAGCTGTACTTTCACTTTCTTTCTGGGTTCACTAAAAGACAATATTTAAAATATGACACAATGGAAACATATTTTCTCTGAAATGTTCTACCACTTGAAGCCTCAGATTGAAGTCACGTTTTTTTTATGAAACTAGCAGATAGTTTCTGTAATGACTGAGTATGAGATATAGAAAAGATTCTCTCTCCTATTTCTAGGGCTAGTGCCTATTCCTACATGAAATAAGTAATCCTAACAGTTCAATGTGAAAGTAATTCATCCTGTTGTAAAGAGTGCTGCCAACCTACCTGGATTGCTCTTCTAATTGCATTTTGCAAATAGCTGCGAGCTGAGCCATTTTACTCGGGAAGGGTGCAGGATTCTGAGAACTCTCAGCTGGTGAAACAGAAACAGAGAGGCATTGGTCAAAGCTAAAGAAGACATGGTCACACTGAGGAAACTCCATTAGAATCAAAAGGACAGAAAACATATATGTCTCTTTAAAACTGCACAGCAAATCAACACTAAGCCCCACAAGTGACTTTTTATCCTTTAATTCATACAAAAGTTGGGCTTCAAGAAGGTTGGGGTATATGGATATTGAAACAATTTTCTGCCAAAATTGCAGAAAATCAAGGGATTCTAACATTTTTTAGGGATCAAAATTGTAGGGATCAAGTAAGCTAAAAAAATAAGATAAAAGTAAATTCTTTCCAGCAGAGCCCTCCTGATATTATTGAAAACATACCTTTGTTGGTCTTGACAGGGCTACTGGGAGCAGAATTTATCTTCCTCCGATCACTTTCTATACTCTTTACCAGTTTGATAAGAGATGGGTGTCGAGTAAAGTTTGGTTTCCCACGTGTGGAAAAGAGGTTTTTGGCACAGTTCTCTTTTGAAGATCGCTTCACCTCTAACTCAGAGGTAGTAAAAGGAATGACTGGGTTGGAGTCTGAAACAGAAAAGGCGTGTGCAATTAAAATACAGGCAGTTCAGCTTCCTTTCAGAATATGAAATCAAAATGTAGTTCTAAAACAATTTTACAAATAAAAGTGGCATCAGCTATGTGCCAGATGCTGTTCTAAGGGCTCTGCCTACAAAACCTGTTTATCTTATTAAATGAATTCTAGGACATGAGACTTCCTACTTTAACATTTCTGAAACCATACCACATATTACAACCTGTAGTGTGCGAGAGAGTAGTTACTAGTGATTTTTCTTTCTTAGTGCATCTTATGATAAGGGAAATCTTAGATCTGATGAAATAGGGTGATCCTCCCAGCAATTCCTTGGGATAAGTCCTGCTCAGGAAATGCCCCCGCCCCCCGCCTCCGTGAGAGATGAGAGCTCTGACTCAAGGGACATTAACCCACTGACGCTGGGTCTCTCAGTTAGAAACATGTGGCTCTGGAATACAATGAACCTGCTCAGTAGAGCCCCAGAGCCTTCACTCCAAATTCCTGCACCAAAAGGCTTCTTTCTGAGATTATGCCAAAATCACAATAAATCACTATTGTTCATCCCAGTTCACAGGTGAGGAAACTGAGCCACAGAAGTCACTTGCCCAAAGACACACAGCTAATGAGCAGCAGAGCTGGGACTGGAACCCTCTGTCTGCTTGGCCCACGTTCTTGCCATTTTCTAATGTTTCTGGGGCAGGGTGTGGAGGGTCTTCAGTGGGATGAAAAATGTCAGAATCACAGTTGAGAAGAGGTCTATAAAGACTCAACTTGATACTAGAACAAACTCATTTCACATTCTCAATGTGCACAAATTCTGGTGTGGTCACTGAGCAGCGTAACAATTTCTCAAATCTTTTCATATACACATTTTATTTCCTGGACACAAATTGGGAGGTTGTTATGAACCTTGGGTTGCTGAGAGAGCCAGAGGCAAACTTTCTATATTGGCACTCATCTTTAATTATCTTTTCAGCTTATATATGTCCTTTCTACATGGAGGTGGTGGGTAGGATAGGGAAGGGAGAAAATCTCCAAATGTGCATTCTTTCAAAATAATGAAGCAAAGAAAGAAAAGAAAAGAAAAGAAATACATACCACTGGTATTTGGACTGATTTCTGGGCCTGTCCATTTAAAAGCTGGTTTTCGGCCTCTTTCCTCTGTAACATGAACTTTCTTGATAAGCTCCAGGCTACTCAGAACATTAGCTATATCATATAACCTCCTAATTTTTGCTAGGAGAAAAAAGTATATATATATATATATATCACTTAATGCAATAATGAAAGATCAAAGGATTTTGCTTCAGAAGAAAGGACTTCATATTCTAAGAGCTGTCTTAACCATCGATGTGAAGCAGAGAAACATGTGACTCCTTTAAGTCCCTCTAGTGATACTGCTTTAATTAGGACTAAAAAAAGTTTTAAATATTTAAAAGGCTCAGTTACTGCTGGCCCTGAATTTTAAAATGACAACAGCACATACTGAAAAAGAAAAATGACTTGATGAGATCATCTGATCTGAAATTATGTTACAAATGTCTTATAGGAAGTCACTATTCCTGGGAATCTTCTAATGAGGCGTCAGAAGCATTTTATGAACAGATAAAATAAAATTCACAAATATATTGCTTTTCTCCTTGAAATGGCTTATAACAAGATTTATTTAGTATCACAGCATGGAAAATTCTGCAGCCCATCAAAATTTGTAATCTTTTATATTGTCTATGTAATATGCAAAACATAGATTTATTAATTCTGCAAAGCTTGCATATCTTAAAAAGTTTTGTTATAAAAAGTCTGTTTCTACTTTCATCTTAATAGTACAAAATTACAAATTGAGTTCCCCTTTTCATAGCTGTGCTATGAAAGGTTCTGAATTCCCTGGGGATTGAGCAAATTACACATTTGTGGTTCCAGGAAGAGTTTCCAAGGCTGTGACTAATCAGTGAACCAGAGAGCTAAAAACTGGTGACTCAGAAAAAGCAGGAACCCATTAGTAGTATCAGGGCGTGTTTTCTGAGATTGCAGATCTCCCAAGCCAATTGCCAGCATTACTGCCTTTACTCTTGACTTCATTCTGTCTTCATAAAGAAATACACTAACAATACACTAACAACCTGAGGATGTCGGAATATACTTCCATGGAACTAAGTACAGCTTAAGAGCATGGGAAGGAGTCTCTGTGTGATAGTTACCAAGTATTCCCCACAACCCCTGCGGTCACTTGGGGTAGCTCTTCCTCACCATGTATCTGGGTCCTATAGGTCGCCCCTGTTTGGGCTAAATCCCAGCAAAGCTCCCTCCCCATCTGCTGAGTACTTCTCTCCAACATTCTTTCCATAAAGTCTGGTATAGTGGTGAAAGCTGGGCTCCGTCTTAGAAACTCAGACTGCACTTCCAACTGAGAGCAGATAATCTGTCTGAAACCATTCAAAATGGCAGACCACAGTCTGCCTACGACTCAAAAGGGCAGGACGCTGGCCCCATATGCTGGAGGTGGTGGGTTCAAACCCAGCCCTGGCCAGAAACTGCCAAAATGGCAGACCAATTGTGCTGCAGGTCGCTTTAAGGGACAACTTTATATTATTTATATTCTTATATTCAGCATCAGGGGAAAGAATAGAGACCTAGGTCTAGTTCCAATTTATAGTTTTCTCCTTAGACCTCAGACAATACAGACTCTACTAGTGTTAAATGACAACAATGTTACCACGTAAAATGAAGCCAAAGTGTCAGACAAGTAAGAGTAGTTATGCATATCTTCAAACCCCAGGAATTAGCTAAGGCAGTGTTATTGTGGCTTCTAGGGAGAAGTAAAGACATAAAAACATACTAAAAGAAGATCTGTTTTTGCACCCAATATACTATTTGGAAGCTAGTTTATAACTGAGACTGTATTGTTTAAGAATAGGTCCAAAATTCCATGGCAGTCATGACACTTACTTTTAAACTTGCTTTTATCCAAATCTTCCACATGGTCTTCCCCAATTAAAATCTTGGCAGCAATTTCTAGGCTTACTATCTGAGGCGTTGACACCAAAAACAGCATCACAAATTTCTGGCTCATTACTCTTAAAGACTTGTCTTTGCGGCTGTTTACAGAAGCTTTGGAAAAGGATGAGGATTAGAGAATTAAAATTCATGAAGGGACAAGTGACTTCTAAAGTAACAAGGCTAAAAATACCACCACCTGATCATACAGCTGACAACTGTAGCATTTTAACATTAAAGGCAACAGTAGCTTTAGAGCAGTGTTCTCCAGCTGCCCTTTCTTTTAGAGTCAGGAGAAATGCCACGTAGCCTGGGCTTTTCAGGTAAGTACCATGAGCTAAGTGAGTGTCACTGGAGCTCCAGCTGGGGCTTGTCCATACTGTCTCTCACCTGCCCGAAATTCCACTCCAGGGAGCTCCACAAAACACATGTCTGGGTGTCCATTTTGGCCAGTGTTTGATTTGATGATATGATCCTCTATACTGTAACTCTTAATAAAGTCAAATTCCTGTTCATATTCTTTCTTTTTGATCATCATAATCTGCTCGGCGTACTTATTCTCCTCCCCGACACTCTTCAAAGTACCGAGGGTCTTGTTGAGATTATGTCGCCCATGCCAGGTGTACCTGTTTTTGGCGAGGCGGCTCACCATGTGTAAACTCTCTAGGACGTTCACGATATCGTAAATACGTCGACGCTCAACATCTATAAAGGTACAATTGCATGTTACTAGGGTTGGGTTTTTGTAATGTGTTTAGAATCGAATAACTTTTTCTTTTCCTCAACAGTTTATTAGTCAGTAGCTTCCGGACAATTTAAGTCTATATGCTCAACAATGTAAAAGTAAGAAAGACATGTGCCTGCTCTCTCAAAGGGTATGAACAAATTACTACAGAATTGAAAGGCAACATTTATTGAGGCCTAACATGTGCCATGTAGCTTTAGGAAATTTTTATCCTAAAGTTGTGAGGTAAAGTATTATTATCTGTACTTTAGTGATGAGGAAATAGAGGCCCAGGCCAGCTAAGAGGAACATGCCAGGAACAGAGACAGTAAGTAGCAAAACCAGGTCTTTAATACTCTAAATCACAGGGCGGTGCCTGTGCCTGAAGGAGTAGGGCACCTGCCCCATATACCAGAGGGGGCGGGTTCAAACTCAGCCCTGGCCAAAAACTGTAAAAAAAAAAAACCAACCTCTAAATCCCACACTAAATTTCCAGCACATTTCTTATATTACCCTTCCAACAAACATGCCCATGTCTATAGTATTCATATGACAGGTACCAAGTGCTAAAACTGCACAAAGTACAAAAACTGTGATGAAGTTTTTAAAACCCTCATTAAAAAATAAAAACAAAATATCCCTTTGGGGATCTGATTTTTGCTTACTTTGTAGCTACCATTGACAATGTGATATCAGTGATTCTGTGACTCTCATCAATTATTTAAATTGGGTTTTCAATATTCTGCAATATTAGAATTCTCTTTGTTCAAGAAATTGACTGTTGATGTTGATTTAAATTCAAATATTTGATGAAATCCAGCCTTCCCGGAAAAGTGCTATAAGATATAAAACACTATTTGAAGAAGGGTGCTCCCTACTGGCCTCTCACTGTTCCTGGAAGTTGTCCATATGCTCTTATGGGGGGCCTTTTGTATGGGGCTGTTCCTTCTGCTTGGAACCTTTTCCCTTTCCCCTATCCTCATAGCACTCTGCCTTGCTTCATTCAAGTGCTTGCTCAGATGTCACCTTCTCAACAAGGCCTGACATGACTTGAGCACTTCATTTAAAATAGTAAACCACCTCTCCAGCGCTCCTAACTCTTTCACTCTAGTCTACATTTTCTTATTCCCACAGTATGTGTTACCTTACAACATATGTTATCACTACTTATTACATCCTTTACTCAGTACTGGCTGCCCCAGGAGAGAAGACATGGTACCCTTTTTGTTCACTGATGTATTTTAAGCTCCTAAAACATTGCCTAGCACACAGTAGGTGATAAATAATAGATACCTGTTGAATTAATGGGTACTACTTCCTACCTAGCTACAATTCAGTATTTGTGAAAAGAAGATAAATCTTAATGGCATGTTCTTAAAATGTGAAATAAAGCTGATATTCAGGCACATGTATTTGAAAAGTAAAACTTTTCTTCAAAGGGTGATTTCTATGTATTAAAACAGATTATCCTACATAGCACATCTCTTCACAGTTTTAGATTAGGATATTTGCATAACTCTAAAGGTACCCAAATTTGCCACGAATCTCTTTTTCAGTATAAGGAGATCTGGGTCTATGAACAGAGGTGTCAAATACGGCAGGAAGAACATGATGACTTTTGCCCAATACAAAATGCTCAGAAGACCCACTAGTCCTCAGAATAGTGCTAAGTAGCTGGGAGCACGCAAATCCTGTTCCCACTCACAGAAGCTGATGCTCGATGTCAGCTAGGAAAATACCTCAGCAGCCTGTGATTCAAGGAAGGTGTCAAAAGTTCACAGTTGTAGTTGTTTGTGAAACAATTCATAAAACAAAGTTGCTTTTCCTTAAGTTTCAGAGACAACCTACAGTCAGAAACAACCTCCACTGTGATACTTTTTTTTTCTGCCTCCGAGATTCAATGAAATTAGAAACTATTTGCCTTTATTCTTAAACTAACAGGACTTTAGAGATTTATGATGTCCATGTAGTCTTATTTGTGTCATTTGCAAACACTAAGTACATGAGTGTGGGTTTGAGGAGTTAAGTCCATAAAGTCACTTTAATCATTAACCGTTTCAGCATGGCTCTTTGCATACTTACTCAGTTCCTCCGCCACTTCATCAAGACAGATGTCATTATTCACAGCAGGATTAGGGTACTTGGGATAGCGTGCTAAAAACTTATGGCATAACAATCCTAAACTTTTCTCTTTTCGACTTGGTTGAGATTTTTCATATTCATCTCCAGAAAAGTGTTCCTACAAAGGAAAAGGTAAACAAGGTCTTACTCTGAAATAAAGTTTGACAGATTTATTAGGGGCATCTGTGCTTGCTGACTAACACCACTTACCCACATGCTTAGCTTCAACAGCTGCAAAGATTGGGGGCAAAAAATAGGGGCAAGAGGAGAACTAGTATAAACTGCTTGGAGAACGTGAAAGGGGAAGCCTAAAATGAAAATATCTATAAGGTCCAGAATGCCCAGTGCTAAATTTGATGGGGTTCAAACCTTCCTGGTGCTCTTAAAGAGATTAATAATAGCTCTGGAGTGGTGATGCTTAAAACTGCTGGCACTTCTGCAGAGGCTGAATCCCCCCAACAAATTTCCTAGTCTCTACCCAGTCCTCTGAAAACCTACATGTAAACAGTCTTTGGCCTCAGGTAATCCACTTCTGTTGTCAAACAATCCCCTTTTCTGATCCCTGCTGCGGATCTCAGGGCTCACAGCACTGATGAGCATTTTCAGGTTGGCTGTTGGTGTCCACGGCTCCCCCTGGGAGACCTCCTTGGGCTTGGTGGGTGTAGTTAGAGGGCCAAAGGCAGGCTGAATCTCTGCCAACATTACATTTGTTGTGGTGGATTCTTTCAGAGGTGTTTTCATTAGTCCCCTTTTATGTGGCTCAAAAAAGAGATTTTCCTGGTTTTAAAAGAAAAGCAAATAATTAAATCCATGGTAAAACAGGATCAGGTAGCTTTTCACTCTAGAAATTGTACAATGCATAGAATATTGCTGAAGGCAAAATTGCTTAATGAGATTTGATGAGTTGATAAAGTTAATAATTGTATTGAAATGATCACCTTTTGTCCATACTAATAGTTAAATTTTCTATTTTTAATTTTGCAACAAAGCATGGACTTAAATGTTTCATCTTGTTTCAGGAATTTTTCAAAAGACAACTTTAATTAGGACCTACAATATTTAACTCTTATTTGAAATGATTTTAGAGCTAGAGAAAAGTTGCAAAGATAGTAGAGAGTTCCCATATGCCCTTCACTCAGCTTCCTCCAATAGGACTGATAATTTTAAGTGATCCAAACTGCTAGAAGCAACTTTTATTCATCACACTGTCATAAATAAAGGCCTTCTGGGCAGAAACTATTATCCACCTAGTATAATGGCTGCATGCAGTCGGTGCTTAATAAAACACCACTGAAGAGTCAGAGAACCAAGAGTGAGGGCTAGCATGTGATCAGACCTACCAGGAAAATCCTGAGTGCCCAAGAGCAGGACTTCTGACTAGAAAAGCCTACTCTTTGAATAACTACACCTCACTTTACAGATGGAGAAAATGGGGCCCAGAGAAGTAGCATTAGCTACCCACGGTCATAAAACTAGATCCTGGCAGAAATGGGACCGCCACCAAAACAAAAAAGCAAATTAACAGCAGTTCATAAATAAGACTAATGAAGACTTCTTTTCACTTTTAGACACCTGGGACTCCACACATTACTCTATCTGTATCTATTTTAAAGAAAATACTTGTAATGGCACCAAGGAAAAGATTAGAGAGACTCACTAACTTTAGGAACATGGATTAAAAAGATGATTTTACATGTCTGTGACTACATGTATTTATCAAGTGCTTTTTCCATTTGTGTGTTTGTGGAATCCTGTATTCCTAATTCTCAGATGAGGACACACAGGCTGAGGGATGAAACAGGACTAAAACCCAGATATTCTCACTCCCTCCAAGTATGGTGCTCATATATAGAAGTCAGTGTAATCGACCCAATGGGAGATCCTTGACAGCATGTGCATTTAAGAGGTGCTGATTCAAGAATGGGGTTTTCCTAATGGATGCTGTCCTTTGCCATAGGTGATCAGGAACAATAGTAATTCTTCCTTGACTAATATCTTTAACTATTAGAAAATTTGCATACAAGCTTTTAAAAAATATCTAATAGTTGGACACCCCCCAAAGATAATTCTTTTGTAATTTTATGAAATATTTAGCTCATAAACAGCATGTTGAGGCTCCCATAAGCTTAAAAAAAGTTTACAATTTTTAAAATTAAAAAGAAATCCAATCTTAGAGCATGTTAAATACATTTCAGGATACCAATTGTTCAATAATTCTCAGAAATGTTGTAATATAACTAACCAATTTCATTATTCTTAAAAATACATTTTCTGTTTATGTTTCTAAGACTCCCACAAAATCATTAAGAACTAGAAAGATTACTTTAACCTTTCCCCTCTTCAAAAATTAAAATTTCCTTCTTTCTAGGTTTTTACAGGGGCTAAGCAAAAGGGATGTGACATTAATAAGATATATTAGATAATGAAAAATTACGGAGTTTAAACTGCAATAATGAACATTGAATTTAAAAAGTACCTTTTCATTCTCCATTCTGTAACTTTCTCATACATTTAGAGTTTAAAAACGAAAAATCTGGAGTTCCTTCTCAAATCTCACTGGGTCCGAGCAGTCCAACGCTATTAAAAATTTTAATATCCTTAAGAAAAAAGGAAATCGAAAAGTTTAAAAGAGAAATAAGAACCCAGAGATCCTCTGTTGAAAATTCCTTCAGGTACACAGCAGGCCACAAAAACAAAGATTAATGAAGAATGACAAATTAGATTTACATTTTATTCCGAAGCAGAGACAGCCTCACTCGGCAGAGAACTCCAACAAATGTCGGTAAATCCTTCAGCAAACGAATCCGCTGTCAAGAGACTTCAGGTAACCCACAGAATTTCCAGTGACAGTCCTCTCTCATCTTTAGAAAAGGCGGGCCATTCTCCGATCCCGCCAAATAGATCGTAATTAAGAACCCACCTGTTCACAGATGAGGGTTCCGGACTGAGCACATGAGCCCAGGTGCAGGCTGAGCACACGCGACCCCCAGTATCTGGATACAACTCTGTATCCACATTCCTGAATTTCGCCCCTTACACACACGTGCACAGGCTTAACATTAAAGTCTTAGGAAGTTGCTTGCTATGAAATTTCCAAAGTCAGTCACTAAAAACTCTTACTGCTGAGCATTTAAAGGGTGCCTTATGATTGAGACTGTTTTTAAAAAAAAAAAAAAACTTTCTTAAGGATGCAAAGTTCCAGGTACTTGCTATTCGGGTGGTCGGCTCACCCTACGATGTTGGACTCCACCATGGAAGGCTGCATTTGTTCTACAAGGCAACCAGGTACTGTCCCCTGCCGCCACCCGCTCAGCGCTCTACCCCCTCCTCCCGGCCAACTGCCCCTCCCCCATGCCCGGTCCGCCCACCGCCCGCCCTGCAGTTCCTGGACAGCATCTTTGCGGTTTCCAGGACAACGATTCCTGACCAATCAGAGAGCTGGTCACCGGCCTGCGATTGGCTGATGGAGCTAAGGGCGTGGCCGGACCTTCCGCCTTCGATTTAAAAATTTGGCGCGGAAAGCCGGACCATGGCCGGCACCACCCCTCAGCTGCGCGGGGCTTGAGCGCGGGCAAACCCGCGCCCGGAACCACGGCATCCCCGCCCCTCCCCCTCGCTCGCCCCCGCCCCTCTGCGCGGGAGCTCGGCTCCTCCTTCTACGGCCCCCGGCGGAGCGGGAGGCGGGAAACGGCCGCCGCCGCCGCCGCCGCGGCCTCCTCCAGAGCCAGCTCCCGGTGCTGTGCCGGCCTGGCGCCGTGTCCCTTTGCGTCCCACTGACCTGTCAGTCCACCTCACGATTGGAACCGGTGGGGTCTGAGGGGTGACTCCTCGGCACTCCTTTCCGGCGGAGGCCCGGGTGTCCGCGTGTCGAGCAGTCAGTCTGTCTTTCAGCCGCGCCGAGGTGGGTGCCGGAGGGAAACGCCCGGGCCGGGACTGGTGGGCCGGCGGGCGGCAGAGGAAGCGTGACCGTCCAGGAGCAGTCAAGCCCCCGATTTGAAATTAACCCGCTCCCGGCGCGAGCCGATCCCGCGGGCGGGGAGGGCCGCTCCCCTCCCCCACGCCCGCTTTTCCCGGCCCCGGACCTCGCGCGCCAATCCGAGCCTCCCGACACCGGCCGCCGGCGAATCAGCGTGCTGGCGCCGCCCTCCGGTCCCGCCTTCACAGCCGAGTTGAGGGAAAAGTTCAGCAACTTTTTTAACTTTTTTTTTTTTGCATGCACCCCCTCCTCTTCCTCAAAGTTGGGGAATAAAATTTGGCCCGCCCTGCGCTCGCCGGCCGGGACGCGGGCGCCCTGCGCTCCTCATCTTGGGGCTGTCTCACCTCCTGCCCAGCCCCAGGTCTGCTCACCTGTGCTGGGATCCCAGCTGGCACTGTTGTCCCTTCCATCCCTGGCATGCATTGTTGAACTACCCATCATCTGCTCATGGCTTTCAGAAATTGGTGTGAGGAAGGAGAGGACTGGTTGCTGGTGCTCAAACTCGCACCGAACTATGGGCGCGGGGCCTTGGCTGGTGGGTGAGAACTCAGGTGTAGAAGGGATGAAGTTGAAAACCCGCCAAGTCTGTGCCAGGTGTCTCTCTCCTTTCGTGGTCTCTCCCCGGCTCCTCCCTGATATGTTCTCTTTTCCCTCTTTTCCTGTCTCCGATCCGCGGGCAGCTTCAGCCTAGTAGTAAAATACTGTAGAGTCCTTAGGGTAATAGCAGGGTTGAGAAACACTAATCCAACGTGATTACTTGCTGCTCGGGAGCGGCAGGGCTGCCTTGCATGTGCTTGGATTGTTTTCACCCCAGTTTGCTTGCTCCGCTATTCTCTCCTTTATTTAAAACATTTCCCCTTTTCCGCGGACCTGTGCGGGAGTTGCAGGACTGCATGTATTGCCCAACCGCTCCAATATCAGGGCCCCACTCTATCTACTGTTTGGTTTGGGCTCTTCCTCCTCTGTAATCTTGGCGTTTTTAAACTCCAACAAGGCCTGGGTTGCGCTCCCCTCAGCCCCATCTCTTACTTCCGTATCAATATCTCCCCTCGCTGACTCGCAGAGCGAGACATTCTTATTTCTCCTGGACGTGACAAGGGCGGGAATGCTGTAATACTGAGGCCAGAGGTCGGGGCGCTGCAACTACACGCCCTAAGGCCAGAGGTCTTGGGAGCAAGCAATGGCTCATTTCCCCGTAGAAGGCGACGCAGGGTGCACAAGGTGACGGTCCTGAACGGTTAGCGCCGTCGTGTCCCTGCCCTCTCCTTGTCTCCAGCTCGAGCTGGTGTTGCTTGAGAACTTTTTACCTGAAAGGTACTGTGCAGAAGGGGCGGCCGCCTGTAGCTTCCAGATTTCAAATAAAGCAGAGGTCATCGGACAATGTTGCACTGTCCACAGCACGGAACAGCCGGCTCTTACTGAAAAGATACACCTTTTCAGAAGCAAGGCAGAGCTGCAAATGCATCAGCAAAAGGTGGGCAGCAGGTGCTTCTGCTTTAGCCATTAGCTGTTTGCTAGGTCGTCGTCTCAACTTCCTGACCATCACTGCTTATAGGAGTGTCCCGGTTCTTCCATGCCCAACTTTCCCTAACTTTTTACACCCAGGGAGCCCCATGGATTGTAAAGCCCCCTCTAAAGGGACTCTTCCAAAGCAGTAAGTAGGTCTAATGCCCCTGTGTTCAGAGGTAGTGTGTATTTTATTCTAATCTGTGATCCATACGGCCATTCATGCTGCAGGTGTCTGAGTGACAAGTACCTGTAAAGGCAAATAATGCAGGGAGCAGCCACTTCTGGTGATAGTTCACAGATGGCATCACATTTCATAGTCAGCACAGGTAATAAGGCGGAGGTTATTTATTACTCAGAAGGCAAAGCAAAGCAATTTAAAGTAACACATCTAAAGGTTTCCCTGTAAGTGACAGGGCTAGGATTGGAAGACAAGTCTATTTAACTCCTCAGGGCTTTCTGCTGACAGCTGCATTCACCATTGTGCTAGGTGGTGGTCCTCACTTGCTTCATGGGACAGTTTTGCCACGTTTTATAGGGAAGAAAACTGAGGCACAAAAGATTTACGTGATGGCCAATTTAGCTATAGAGCCAGAATTATAATCTAGGTCTACCTGCTTCCAATTCCTATATCCCATTTCATTGACAGTTTCCACAAAAGCAGTGTTTTTGTCACCTTACGCCAACCCTTACCCATTTTAACCCCTCCCCCAACATAAAAAATAGAAAAGATGGGAATGTAATTCTTGCCTAGTAACAGTTGTCATGTCTTATTGAAGCAAGTGAAATTATAATCAAACTCACTGAGTATATTGTAAAGTGGTTCTATTAAGAGTGAACTGATACAGTTTTGAAGACTTGACAACCCTTTCATACAAAGGTAATGAAAAAAGAAAGCAAGCTGAAATAATTCTATTCAATACTGTATAGGGTATCAAACTGAAATTCAGCATAGGTTCAGCACCCCGTAGTACAGTGGTTACAGTGCCAGCCACGTACACCGAGGGTGGTGGGTTCGAACCCAGCCTGGACCAGCTAAACAACTGCAACAAAAAATAGCCGGGCATTCATTCTGGCAGGTGCCTGTAGTTCCAGCTATTCAGGAGGCTGAGGCAAGAGAATCGTTTAAGCCTAAGAGTTTGAAGTTGCTGTGAGCTGTGACGCCCCAGCACTCTACTGAGAGTGACATAAAGAGACTCTCTCAAAAAAAAGAAAGAAATTCTGCATAATTGTAAAGGAAAGATGTAAGACATTTGAAACTTTTATGATTACTGCACAACCAAGAAAGAAGGATCATGGAACAAGCATGAAATCTTTTCCATTTTGCCATAGAAGGTGTTTTCCAGCTATTAGTTACATAATCCAAGGGAAGTATTTGTGTGTTTATTTCTAGTCTTTTATTTACCCTGTTGTGTAATGTGTCTCACTCAAGTAAGACCAGTTTTTCTACTCTATGCTGCCACCCTTATGCATTGCACAACTCAGAGGGCCGATGTGTTGTGTAACACATTCATCGTGAAATAAGGTGTTATGAAAAAAAGATATCAAAAGTAAAAGGGAAAGATGGATGTCATTTGAAGTGCTTCCAAAGGTAACATTTAAAGTGCCTTCAAAGGTAGCATCTGGGATTTTTAAGTATGTTCCTATTTATCACCACTAGAGCATCACATAAGGGGTGGGAAAAGAGCAGGCAAGACCTTCCCACTGACCCGGGCAAGATGAGGGGCTGAGGAAGGAGGTGCTTTAGCAAATGAGTTCTTAGACCTTTTCTATTTCTCTTGCTCTGTGCCCCCCACCCCCAGCACCCCTGCCCCTCCCCGCATCTTCTAGGTGCATGGATCACCAGCTTTACTTTCTAACCTGGTGGGGAAATTTGGGTTGTGCTCTTTCTGCAGCACGTTTTGGCACAGCCACCAAAAAGACAGCTGCCTAGAGCTTTAAATTGCACAAATCCCCATGTGCTGGGTTGGATCACAGCTGCTCACAACCAGATCTCAGTTCTCCCTGATCCTTTTAATAAGTTGGTTGCTCCGCCTGCAGATGAAGCGTGCTGGGTCCAGTCTGGGGAGGGTTAAAGAGGATGGGTATGAACAAGAGACCCAGGAAGCTGGAGAGCCGGGAGCTGGCTTGTGCTTATGGCAGAGCTAACCAGGGGTCGGAGCTTGTCCCAGAAGCAGCAGGGCTTGTGAGATGCCCTCAGACTCTTCTGTGAGGGACTCCCAAAGAGCCCTGTGTAGATATTTGTAGCCTGAGATTCGCTGCAATAGCAACAGTTGCAGCCATTTATTGAGCAATTACTGCTTCTAAATTTTTTAAATACTTTGGGGATAACAGAATACAAAATACTGAGGGTCTTTTTAACTGTAGTATGAGTTACGTCCTTGTATTATTGCACATACAGTGTTAAAAGTGTCATAACATGAGAGAGAACCCACTCTTCCAGGGGCATCGTAGAAATATATATGTACTCAGATTCCTGTGAGTAGCGGCAGAATATTACTTTAAAAATGCAGGAATATGGTAACTTCCCTGATCAGTGATTGCTGCTTTTTGCTTAAAGTTGGTAGTGGAAGGTAACTGCCGATCCCCTCCAGGCAGTCATCTTATCCTGTTCCTGATCACAACCCTGAACTTGCATATCTGTTACACCTCTCAGCAAGGTCATTGTCAATGTCACTGTGAGCTTTTTTTGGGGGGGGGCAGGGCTAGGTTTGAACTCACCACCCTCAGCATATGGGGCCAGAGCCCTACTCCTTAAGCCACAGGTGCTGCCCACTGTGAGCTTTTCTTTTGAGACAGGGTCTCGCTCTTTCACCCTGGGTAGAGCACGGTAGCATATTAGC